CAAATCTTAGAATCTTTTGGCGAAACTTCTGAGGAAGGCTTTAGACAGAGAGGGGTCATTATTAAAAATCCACAGTGAACCTCCAACTTTCTGCTCGGAAGACATGTCTGGACCAACTAGATGTGTGCGGTTCTGTAGGAGAAGCAGGTCTGAGTTTACTTGAAAAGCACGAGGGTTTAGATTCCTAGTGTGGTTTGTCTAATCCGGGCAGGAGTGTGTGTCTGTGGGTCCAGGAGCAGCTCCGCCTGGTGAGGGAAGAAAATCTGAGTGTTGCCCTGTGTGTCAAGAGGTGACACTGGGCCTCTTCCCTTCCTGCCTTCCTGGCCGTGGATACAACAGAGCCAAAGTCAGTCCCGAGTGGGTGGGGTGGAGGGCACAGATGGCGTCTGACCCCGTGGAGAGTCCGGGAGGTGGGACACAGTCCTGGGGAAGCAGAAGCTCCTGGTAAGGGCAAGGCGGCCAGGGGGCCCTGCTTCCCGGCAGCTGTGCCGTCCAAGCACGAGCTGAGCGCCTGCTGGGTGCCTCGGTCACCCTGGGCTCTCAGAAAGGCCCGAAGGCAGCCGCAGGGTGTGCTGGGAATAGCGCCCATGTGAGAATTCACGGTAGGAACAGAGCCTTTTAAGGCAATTTAGGTCATATTGTTGGACGTGGAGGAGCAGCACTGGCCAACCTTACAAACTGATGGGGGGATTTGAAGGTCTGGAGAATCGCCTCCCCAGTTCTGCCCCAACGTTCCCTTCAGTGCCTAGAATCCAGCCTTCAGAGATCCTGTGGCTCCTGGGACGGGAGGAGGCGGAAGACGAGCAGGAGGTGTGGGGCCGCTTGTCAGGCAGGAGCAGAGTGGGGACCGGAGGTGCAGGGACAGCGCCTGCAGAGGGCGGGGTGATCACAGGGCAGGAAGCCTCGCTCTCAGCCCCTTCCCCTAGGGCAGAGTGCGGCCCGAGAGCCGCAGCGCTCTCTCACAGAGGGGGTCTGAGCTGATGTGATTCCAATGCCTCCTCCACCAGCTACTGATGTAATGGCCTCCATCAAGTTCCTGAACTGTGTGAGCCTCTGTGTCCTCCTAACGCCCACATGCTAGTGGGTTGTGAGGATGCCGGGATGCTGTGAGAAGCTGGCAGGAAGCTGGGGAGCTCCTCCCAGGTCGAGGTAGTCAGTCTGTGCTGCTGCAGGGAGTCACCCAGCCTCCCTGCCACCTGGTCCCCAATTTGTATTGTACTGGGGACCTGCAGATCTCCAGCTGGAGATGGAACTGAGCCATCTGACCAGCTGACTCCCTGCAGCTGGTTGCTAAGGGCAGAGCATCCTATTGTTCATCCCACTTCTGCCTCCTCCTTGCAGGTGAAGCTTCAATGTCTGATGTTTTGAGATGTCTGTGGAACAAAAGAGATGGTCAGGGCGGGTCTCTGAGAAGGGCCCTGGGCTCTGGGCACGCCTACTCTGCACTGGCTCCCAAGGGGTGCATTAGTCTGGGTTATATCTGACCGTAACTGAAGTCCCTCAAATATCAGAGGCTTAAACAAGATTCAAGTTTCTTTCTTCCTCATACTCAAGAAGTTCAAGGACAGCCATACAGCTCTGGTTGGAGGCACAGGGACAGGCCCAGGTGCCGCTGGCCCCTTGCTCTGCTAGGCAGGGCTTCCCAGGTCCCAGGTGGCTGCTGGGACCTGCCCATCGTCTGCACACACACTGCAGGGGACAGGGACGCAGCGAGGAGGTCAGCCTTCCTTTAAGGACATTTCCTTGGAAGAACAGGGGTTTGAGATAAAAACCAAGTTGGAGATAAACAAGGTTACATTTCTCACACATTTGAATTTTACGGCCAGAGAACTCATGGAGTTATGCCATCCACATGGGTCTGTGAGTGAACATTTTTCCCTCGGGGACACATGGTTCTGATTCGTTTTAATGACTGCATAGTAAGACATTGTGCAACAGAAGTTATTCAGCCATTTCTGTTTTCTGTTCCTAGAATTTTGGTCCCCTTCCCTGGAATATGAATGATGGGGTTTTCTGTTGGCTCTCCGGCCCCATCTCATTTGTCACATCCCTTCTGCTGGGACTGACTCTCTTTGGGGGTGGCCAGGGGGGCTGTGAGGACGGCAGCCCGGCACCATCTCCTGGTCAGGCTTTCTCTCCAGGGCTCATCTGCCCTTGGCCATCCTCCATAAACCTTCCCAAACTCCAGCCTGCACCGTCTCTTCCTTGCGTTTGTCAGAATGTCCAAGTCAGTACACAATCTATTTCTGCACTTTCAAGCACTTTGTGTACTAAACATATTTTTCTTGCTGAACCAAATTCTACTTGTCTCAGCTTTTGAATTCATTTTGCTCTCTTTCTCCATTACATGTCACATTGCACATGACGTTACATATAAAATCATCACAAACATACATGACTGCACGTGAAGTTTCTCAGTAGGTACATTTCCCAAGCAGATCAGTTACAAATTTTGCTCTGTCTTAATGAAATAACTGCCCTCCTATTAGATAACGTACTTGCTGCTCTGACGCAAGCAAAAATGTCCTGGCTTCCTGCCCCTGGGGAATGTGGAGTGAGGGGCGCTTCTGCTGTCTCCACTCCCCTTGGGGAATGGCAGAATAGATCCCAGGGGCCAAATGGCCGATTGTTTAGCAGGTTTGTCTCACTAGGACCTTTTGGGAGTAAAAGTTGGGTTGGGAAGAAGACAAGGAAACAAAGAGATGGCTAATCTGCCACCTGGATTTCTGTAAAGCTCAAATCTGCCTTCGAGATTAAACATAGAGGGACAAAGGGGATCTTTAAAAGAAGGGAAGGAAGCTAGAAAGACGGCATGGGAATAAGGTGCACATCTGACCAGGTGAGCCCCTCAGAGGTCAGGCAGTTCCCACGCCTCTCCCCGCCACCTCCTTGACTTGTCCAGAGGGAAGCCAGGACACAGAAGATGGACAGATGCCCTTCAGCTGGCTCAGCTCACTTCTGACAATGGCAGGGTGACGTATGTCATCCTCATCCTCTCACCCCAACCACACACCCTTCCACGGCGTTTTTCCCCAGCCATCCAAGAACCAAAGGGCTCACTGTTGCCAATCGTCCGAAAGAAAAGGCACCACCTGCTTCTCATACAGACCCAGGCTAGTGATGTCAGACCCAGCCTTCGCTGGTTCCGGGAGGGCATAACAGGGCATTTTAAGAGCTAAAGAACAGCTGAGAAGAGAAGTGGGTGGCGCACCAGCCCGTCTTCTAACCTCTTCAAGCCAGACTCTAGTTTTGTTTCCACCTAGTCCCAGAGGGAGTGTCTGGACTATTTAGAGGATCGTGCTTGGTTATTCAGTTCCCCTCGTTTAGGAAAACCTTCTCAGTGTCCATCTGTGCCTTGGAGACCCTC